TTATCTGCAGAAATTGAGATGTTTTTAAATCCACAAAAAATAATAGTAGGTATACCTACTTTTCTAAAGTAGATATGAATTGGTCAAGCGTAACACTGAATAAGATTGAAAAGTTCGTTATGTTAAATCGTACAAAAAGTGTTTACCATTCTATAGATAGGATAGGTAAGTACGAAACTTTCGCTAGTATGTTTATTAAAATGCGTGTTTTCATATTTTATCACAACTCAGACAAAAAAAAAACAAAGCATAGTACCTAGTGAATGGCTAAAAGAGTAGTGAATCATAGAAAAATAAAAAAGGTATACATAAGAAACAGCCTAGCTGACGTTAAAACTGAGTCCTTTAAAGTACGTGTTATTAAATCCTAACTAATACATGGAAGGGTCACGCTTCAATGTATTAGTTAGGATTTGCGTCAGAGTGATCTGTGGTCCTCACAAACCGGTATTAAACAATTCTTTCGTTGCTTCACACCGAGTGAGGTTACTGGAGCCCAAACCCCTCAAGACTCAAAGGTACAACCATAGAAAAGAACACAGAAACGAGAGAGATTGATGCCCGATATTTCCCTCTGTATCTGTTTAGCTAAGCTGCGATTGGCTACTTATTAACCCCTCATATTCCCCAGCCAACTGCAGAGCTAGAGAGATAGAGGGGACTAACTGTTATCCATCTCTCTCGTTGCCTATATTGCAAGATTGGGGCTCTTGTTCCTTCTAGGTTATATCTATATGGGTACAACGCACTTGTGACTTCAGTTGCTAGTGTCCAGTCGTTTCCCTAAAAAAACTCTGCACGGGCAAAGCCGCGGGAAAATCGTAGTAAAGAAAATAAGATCTGTCAAATGAGCATCTCGAGTTTTTAGTTCTAATGAGTGCCGATACCTTGACATCAAATTCTTTATAATTCTGATCTCATAACTTAAGACTGCCATTTTTAATTAGCACTAACATCTTATCATATATTTGCTTGAGAGTCTTTTGATACGTATTTCCTGTATAAGTTTGTACAGTTATTCTGTAATGATGTGTGTTGCTGTTGAAATTATTTATTTAGTGATAGCCCCTCTAACAGAACCGGTGGCAAATGTTTCAAACGTAGACCTTGACCATTCGCGTATTGTAACTTATACTTGTAATTGGGGAACTGATATGCTAGTCACAGTATTTGGTACTGCAACAGTCAACACACTGTATACATTCTGGCAGCAGAGTCTTAATGCAGGTGCACCGACTGCATGTAATAGCAGTCCGAAAGAGTATCATCCGACTGCAACAAACTGTGCGATCTAAAGGTATTAAGGGACCGTAGGGGTAGCAGCAGGGCAGACGCACATAAACTTCAATTTATCTGCTTTAGACTCTAAAGTTCAATAAATTAACGTCGACGTATCCATGTTCTTTTTATTTTTATTAATACCTATGTCAATTAGTCTTAATTTGTTAACTACTTAACAACTAAGGTACTAAACTGAACAATGAACTAACTATATGCAATCAAATGTTGGATGTCAATTTTAAAATACTATCTAATTGTTGCACGTAATGAAACTTTGTAAAAAGATGTATAGATGTTTAGTTCGGTGGACCACAATTTGGTACCTTGGAACTAATCCGATGATAGGGCTAGGAAGTGGATGGTAGAGCCCTTTAGTGGCTACTAATACACTTCTCGAACTTCTCTCTCTTCTCTCGGTTTGACTAATAGACTTTTGACTTTAACAGATTGGGACTTAGAAACGATAGAATGATGATATAGTTAAAAGCCAGTAAGTGGATACCAGAATTTCTTTTACTTCTTAAAATAATTTGCTTTTAAAACATGTTTCCGTGGTTATTTCAAACTATAATTTATTATTTTACACAGATCTCATTAAAATAATAAATTACTTATTCGTTCTGTACCTATTGTATTAATCTCTTTTGCATTTTGATCTATATAGAAAAAATAAGCCTTTCTTATTTTATTTTTATTATGAAAAAGCAAGTTTTTAATGAGAAAAATATATATAAATAACGGCAAAAGGACCCGTTAGAAGTAAAATATTCAAAAGTAGCTGTTTTCTGCAGTTTATGATCACTGGACCGCTCCTAAGCGTCTTAGGATGATGTTACATGACCTTCCTCGGTGAAGACTCTACCAAGTACAAGAAAAATGATTTGAAGCTGACCAGTAGTTTCGGAGAATAGCGCGTTTAAACTTTAAATAGACAGGCAAGAAAAACTTCAGCTATATTGTCCTTATGCGTATCGATTACTATAGATAAAAACCATGATAGAGAAAAAAATTATCACAAGTCCTCTATGAGATCTTTCTCCTTCGGAAACAGATCGAACTATAAACTCAAAGATATTATAGGCCTTGCAAATTACATACTTCATAGTCAAGTTCAAATACAGTGTTGTTTTATAAATATATGTCATAGTTATGGCAATCCTGTTTTACTTACCACTGCTTAGATTATTACAGTAGATGCCTGTGCCACCACATCGACCTCTGCCCCACCACTGCACTAAATTTCTTGTAAATAATATCTATCCATACAGAAATAACATCGGCACACTGATTATTTTATTATATCGTTCATTTCACGCGCGCGTTTGTATTTCGAACGCGTCCGCGGTGTATGCGTCAACGACCAGCCCACGACGCGCTCATCTATGAACTGAATGTTTTCTTTCAAATTCGAACTCCTTACTCCCCCCATCTTGATTCTTTGGACAAAGCTTGCAAGCTCGGGCACCTGTCCGGCAATCAGCTTGAACTCGGGAGTAATTACAATAAAAAACAAATCGCTATTAAAACCGTTTATTTTATTTCTTATCTAGATAATATGACATAACAGCTTAGACATATTATTAATAATATTATAATAATATATATGTGACTTAATAAAACACTACAAACTTATTTAAATTTTTAAGAATGTTTAACAAAATCTCATTTAAAAAAATCCAATGAACTTGACTACCGATGGTTTGTTCTATACATTTCTGGCTTCCTATTTTTTGTTTTGATAGATGTGACATATAATATGTCATTAACCAAGTTACAATAACAATCTAAATAACTAGTAATTAATTTATTTACAAAGAAGAAAGACAAACTTAACTGCATACATAGAGCCTCCATAAAAATAAATGAGTAAATATAATCCTACAGTGTAAATATACTCGCCAGGAAACAAACAATGTGGTTAAACATTGTAATTTTCAGTCAAAAATTTGGTCTAAATCCGTTTTTTTTTTAAATTCAGTCATTCAATAAAAAGGTCACTAGTTATCACAAACCAATAAGTATATAATAGGTACAGAGATTCTTACGATCTAAGAGGTTTTGTTGATTCTATGAAATTATTTTTAATACTGTTTAATTTTGAGCATGAACCTAATTCGTAGATCTACATAAACTAAAATTCTTAGTAAAATTGCAATGTGAAAAAAAACGATTTTTACTAAAATCAGAATATGTTTAGTATTTTTACTTTTGTAGTCAGATACAATATTAAAAGGTGTTTGAAACAGTCAATATACTTAATCATTATTTTGTCTTTGTTAGTTTAGTTATAATAATAGTCTGATATGTTCCTAAAGAGAGACGTTTACACTTAATACCTACACTTACACAATTTACTTAATAAATAAATGTCTGAATAGTAATTCAGAATTGTATTTTTATCTTTAATTATTTTATTACTGTTTTATATTAAAAATCAAAAATATGTTTTAAACAATATAAAACAAATATTTAACCACTCTCAAACTACTACTACTACTACGTACGTACGTACTTAATAGGTCGTAATTCGATATTTAATTTGCTTTCGATTTTGTTTGGAAAATCAAAAAAAAACAAACCGAATCAATATTGGGGTTAAGTACTTCTTTGCCTCATCTCATTTTTAATTTTATTTAAATGATGATGGCACACAAAATTATTGATTGGAAAAAAGTATAACGTAAATTGCTGTAGCCCATAAAAACCATTAGGCAATTAGTATTTATTACGAAACCTCAGAGGTGCCGTATAATAGTAGAATTGAATAAATTTAGGAAAAAAAGGTATGTTTTCGATAGATCGGCACACAAAAAAATCGTAATTAGCCATCTGGAAGACAGAATCTGATGCTGCATTTATTGATTCAACTACGACAATGTGTAGATAAAATAATGAAGTAGTAAGAGTGTAGATAAAATAATATCCATATACAGTGGGAATATGAGAACCTTTTTGAAGATTGACCTAGTTTTTAGAGAATTTTTCAAATCAGTATCAGAGTAGAAAAAAAACGTACACTTTACTGTTGTTCTTGACTACAGATAGATCATTCCTTTTTCTTGAGTGTACTTTGAAAGATTTGTAAACACAAAGTAATACGAATTATTCTAGTTAAATTTTATGTGGGTACAGTCGTGCAAAAAATAATTTAAAAGGATTCGTTTAGACCGTAGCGGTTTCGAAGTATATATATATTGGTACGTAGAGCATACATAGAGCTTATTATTTTAACTACTACTTAAACGATAATTATTTAAGGTACAATTAATAATTAATTATTTCATAGGTGAATAGCTGATTATATTACATAGAACTTAAAAAAACATATTTAATGTTGCTAGAGATAAAACAAACGTATGGGATATCAACATTTACAGTCACAGACAGTCAAAAACATTAAAATATAATTTTTATATATAATTGAAAAAAAGAAGTTTACATTTTTGAAAGAGTATTCAGAATCATATTTAAACAAATGTTACTATAACCTATTGTATGTATAACAATAATTTACAATTAGCTTCTATCATCAATGATGCTACAAGTAAAAAGCGGTGTACTATATAAAAGTGCATTTGAAATGACACCGCTAAACTACTCTCAATAGCCTAGTTCAGCTCAGGAACGACTTTATATATTTTTATTTTACAACTTTTTATTTGTGACGTCATCGATTGCATTTCAACGTATAACTAAATGACACAAGCGGATGAAAATATTCATTCCGTCCCTGTTGTTTCGCCATCTTCTTGATCGGCTGCGACCGCGCCCCGTTGTAAGAGGTTTTCACTGATAAGAAGGCAAAACTGATTTACCTTATTCATAGATAGTAAGCTGTTCCCGAATATGCCCCTTTTTGTGTCAAAAGCGAAGCGAAAGCGATCTTTTTCAAAATGTCTAAATTATCTGATAAAACAAAAGGAAACAAACCTTAAACAAAGCGAATCAATATTAGGGTTAAGTACCTCTTTTCCTCTATCTCGTTTTTAGTTTTATTTAAATAATGATGGCAAACAAAAATATTAATTGGAAAATTTAAATTAATAAATTCAATTAAATTTCATGCCTTTTCTTTTTAATACATAAACTTGGATAACATTTAGTATGAATTTGCAAGAGTCCGTTGGTTTAATTGAGTTAATGATAATGTTTTGTTTGTTATAGTACACTTTGTGCAAACGAACGATAAAATAATATGCTAACTATAGGAGTAGTGTAATAGGAACAAAAGGTGTAATGGGAGTGGTGTAAAAGGAAAAAAACCGAAACTGAACTTGAAATACAGGGCTAAGGTACACACGCACGAAGTACCAGTGATTTTAATGAACTATATACAGAAATTGTCCTAATAACGCATAATGGTTTTATTTCTTCACTTATACATTTGCATATTATTATTCTTTAAAACTATTCTGCGTTATTAGTTTGATGTAATGGTTTTAGGTACTTTGTAAAAATAGGTATTTCGTTTGCCGACTATACACGGTACATTTTAGATGTATGACACAAACAGTTTAAAGGTAATTTAAGTCATGTAATACAAGAGGAAAATAATGTCTTTTATTTCTAAAATTAGTCGCAAAACATTAATAGGGAGATGTTTTTTGCCTGTCCTATAACTCTTTTTAGACATTTAAAAAAAGACCTTTATAATAAACCAAAGTGTTAAATACAATTTCGTGCATTGTGTGACCCATATTCTTTACAAAATTATAAAAATACTTCAACAAAACCACTTAGATTCAATATATTTGGCATAGAGCTAATAAAATAATTACGTTTCTTCAATGTTCGGGTTTTCGGAAAACAGCTGGTGGTCATTATACGTCCTGAGGTACTTCTTGGTGTAGAGATATAGCATCAGGCCCCACTTCATCATCATAAATGACCACACCAGGCGAATGATTATGCTCGTTCTTATCGGCATCACATCTAGGAACAAAAATAAATTTAATTATGGCTGACTACGTGGTTTGGTTATGTTTTAAGTTTTGTTTCCTCAGAATTTCGTCAATTATGAACCGCTTCGGGAAACCATAGTTCCTGCTTGGTCTTATTCCAATTTGAAGAAGAAAAACTTACCCTAAGGTATAAGATTAGAGAATACAGTTAATTATAATTCATAATGACGTCGTCGTATAAAGTCTGTGATACTTCGAAAATGATTAGTACTTTATTTTAATAAATAACATTCTAAAAAGAGTTAGAACTATTTTCTAAAGTCAATTTGAATTTCAAATTCAACATTTTATTTCTTAATAATTATTTGCACAACATTATTCCAAATCTTAAACAAAAACAATTGTATTAATCAATGTACCGCTCGTTCACTAACAATTGTTTCTTGTGATAAGATATCGAGTAAACAAACAACTCAATTTTATAATAATGTAACTAATTAAACATATCACAACAAACAGCAGTTTAAGAAAATCTTGTTGAACGAAACATTAGTTCAAATGCAAATATTAAAAATGATTAAGTCACAAAAGTATGAAAACAAAAAAAGGAGGTAAAAACAGAATTTCTTGTGACTGACTAACTAAAGATGTTTTTACTAAGAGACTTTATATATAGGTAAGAAAAACATTTAACCTAGATCTACCAGGCAGTGGTTGTCATGGTGTAGTAAATCAAAATTACATATAATAATACACACTATTTAAGAAAAAATAAGGACGGTCGCCTTGGCTTCAATAATATACAGGCTGGAGCGCTTTCTCAATAACACAGACCATACGACTTGAGTTTGGATCTCAGAACTGCCTGTGATTCGAAGTCTTGCGACTTTTTTAAATCATCGTCATCAAAAGCTCATCTAGTCATACAAATAAATACAATTTAGGTAGGTATTTTTAATGTCAAAATGAAAGCTTACCAAAATAGAAAACAACTTTTAAAGTTTTTGTCTATCTCTTTGTTCCGGTTAATCGCCGAAATGATTAGACTGATTTTGCAAACTCGATTCACAACGTCAGCGAATAAATGATGCGTTGTTAATAAGTGCATTTGTTATATCTATTCACCTCTAATTCAACGGATGACTGAGAACCGTTTTTGTGTATTCGTCTACATACTCTGATAGATCCGGTAACGTTATTGGTGCATTGCAGAGAGCATTTTAGTTTCTAATGTAACTAGTGGTATCGTAATTAATTATTGATTATAACGTAGAGATAGAGACCACATCATGTTCATTTTGAAACACTGCATTAAAATCATATATGATTCAGTGCCTGTATCGATTGCAAGACGTTATAGAGATGCTAATACCCAATTATCGCGATGAATTAGCTTCAAACTTAATGGTTAAGGTTTATCTGGTTTGTGCTATGCCAGAAAACTATCTCGTGTTATGTCTAGGTCAAGTAATGCCCTTGTGTGTAACGGATACGGTGAGAGATTCGCTGTTTATCATCCCTTTATATGTGTGTATATAAAGGGATGATAAACGGCGTATATAGCGGTGGCTTTTTAGGCTACCATTATGATATACTATGTTGATAATAAAGATTCCATGACAATGATTCGAATTCTGGATGTAACCTGAATATCCTGAACCTGAATTTTAACACTGAGGTATGCGCCACAAGATAGTGTTAGGACCGCTTTTGTTCCTGTTATATATAAATGACCTACCAAAAGCAGTGCGCAACCCAATGGTACCCTTTGCGGATGACAGCACAGCGATTTTTGCTTGCAGGGACCCAGCTACATTTGAAGATGACATAAATAATATACTACATGACATTATTCAATTGTTAAATGTAAACAATTTAAAAATTAATATAAGAAAAACCAAATTTATGCAGTTTCGTCAACGCAGAATGACCAAATAACTGCACATTAATAAGACATTACATAACAGGCTAAGAAGAAGTGGGTTGTAGTAATTTCTTAGGGTTAATAATAGATTGTAAGCTATCGTGGAAAAATTGAGCAACTAGTATTTGTAAAAGATTTAGCCAAATAGCTTATGCAATATTTAAATTGTCAAAAGTTACTAACAGAGAAACTACAGAACGGCCTATCATGGCGTTTTTTTTTATGGTATAAGGGGGCAAACGAGCCGACGGGTCAGGTGATGGTAAGCAACTACCCCCGCCCATGGACACCTGCAACTCAAAAGTCACAAGTGCGTTGCCGCCCTTGGAGTCCCTCCCGCTCGAGTCATCGGGAGGGGGGATTTGGGCTCCGGTAACCTCACTCACTTAGAGAATGGCAACGAAAGAATTGCTTAACACCGGTTTCTGTAAGGCCGTGGTATCACTACGGTCGAGCCGGCCCATTCGTGCCGAAGCATGGCTCTCCCACGCTAATAATACACGTATAAAAATAAATTGATTGATTAATTGAAAACCATCATCAGCCTCTTAGCTCGGATATGTGGGATTTTTCCTTGTCCTCAACTCAAGTAGGCTAGTAAGTCAAACTTAGTAGTAGCTAGGTAGTCAAACTTCTCGGATAATGAACTCTTTTATAATTGTCAAATGAAATTGAGTACAGTGATAATCAAATTTTATTTGTCATGTATTATATGGTCAGCTTCCTCTTTTGATTGTATTGAACGGACTCTCTAATAGTATTACTGTACTCTGTGGAATGGACCTTATTATATTGTATTTTTTGCGTCTCTAGCAATTTTATTATATGATGGATATAATGTACATAAATCAAAACGGAGGCACAGTATTACTTTACGATGAGCGGCAGTATTACAAATTTTGATTTGACTACTAAGTTTGACCACGTGGACGACGCGAGAAATCTCTAATCTTCATATTGACAAATGCAATTGTTACCTTCTACTAATATTATTCGATTTCTTTACATATACATTTCATTAGCTAAGGGCACAATCTAAAAAAGACATGAAAAATACTCAGATAACTCGGCGGTTGACCCCGGTGACCACTCGTAATATATGCCAAGACATGCCCCCCTCCCCCCAGGCCTCTAATTTTCACGCAGTAATTCATTAATATGGCTTTAAATCATTTTTTCAATTTGACTCGTATTTATCTTTATGAGTACCTACAGCACTTGTCATATACATAATGATATTGACTACGTGACGGCAACCTACGCCCACTCCCCGCCCCTGTGGCTGTCCCCCCGATTGAGTCACGCAGTATGGGTATGAATCGGTATGAGCCCTAAAGCCTTGTACGGACCAAGCGGTCCAATGTACGCGTAGTTGGTTACTCACGTGTAGACAGGAACGTTAGTCCGTAAGTACTAGTACCTGCAGCAACGCGTATAGCGAGCGCTCAATGTGGAATGCAAACATGGTGAACACGTTCCCTCCAATTTTAAATCGCATGGAATTAGTAGAACTCTATGAGTTTCATCGAGTGCTGAGGGCCCTGTCCGCGCATTCCACATACGAGTAGATTACACGTGCACTGGAACGCTTAGTCCGTACACGGCTTAATAGGTTGTTCAAGTTTGGGGTGGCATTTGCTCTTAGTCCAGGATTAATGATGGTCCATTAATACCAGTGAAAAATTTGTAAGTGGGCAAAGGCTGTGTATCCTGTCTAACCTTATCCAGTGACAGTGGCAAAGTATATCCAAAACATTTTTAAGTAAAATGTTGCCAAGACGAGACCATGTTTCAGCCAATTTTCAGCTTTCTAGGACTTCAAAAATTCTCTTAAGAATTTTAATGATCATCAGTAAGTCAGTGACGGAAATCGGGATTTTTAAGATGTCAATAAAATCTAAAGTATAAAAGCTATGCAAACTTTTTATGTTTAATAAGTTTACTATGGAAATTATATCCCGAGAATTTTGTTTATGTGGTATTATCCAAACCTGGTACAAAAAACTACGAAGCGCGTTGAAAAAAGGTAGGTAGTGCCCTTGCGTTTCGATTGGTTCGTCTTGACGGGGACACTACCGTGCCGCCAGATTTCACATTGCACGAACATGTTAATTAGCTTACTAAGCTACTTATATAGATAACAATATTATCTTTGATAAACAAACTTTGCTTCATTTCATAGAAATATTATTAAGTTTATATAATTTTATGATTAATATTTATATATCCCTGCAAAGTCAAAGTTGAAAATAATGATAAAAATGTTGTTGATTTTATGTAACAAAAAATAAGTTGCAATTAGTAGATCTTTCTATATAGACAGACATTTTGCATTTCGTCTTCATCTACTGATTATGTTGAAAATAGTAAAAAGTAATAATCATCATCAGCCTATCGCAGCCCACTGCTGGACTTAGGCCTCTTCCATTGCACGAAAAAAAAGGTATATAATGGACAAAATCTATACACATTGAAATTACGTGCCCCGGCTGACTAACTGATTTATCAAGGCAGAGCCTAAATCGTTTTTAAAGAAAGGATTTGTTAAGAACAGATTTTTGTAAAGTTCACCTCTAAGGAAGTTAATATAAGGGAGGAACAGTTATAAGGAAATTCTTTATTTTCAAGTAACAAGTCAATTTAGTTAAAAACAGACAAAATTAACTTGTAAAGTATGTACAAACTTCTTACAACACTCTTGTTCAACTTAGCTTTATATTTTTAACTTGCTTACATCAGCTTCATTTGTAAGTAACAACTCATTATGTAAATAAAAATTGTATATTGCTATTTTATTATGATTGCTATTTATAGATTTTATCAACTGTATTATAATAAATTCATAAATTATTTTGACCACTTACCAGCTTTGTAATAGATCTCCAGGAACAGGTAGAATAATGTCAAAGCAGTTCCAGATACAAATCCAATTATGCCAAAATCCCCAATGTATTGCAGGGCTTTTCTAGAAAAGTTGACATGCAATGACTCCTTGAAATAGTGGCAGTGGAGCATCAATGCTAGGGAAGCATGAATACCTGAAAAAAGGTCATGTTGTGTTTAATTATTTGAAATTTGATCAAGACTATTAAAGGAAATGTTAGTTATATCTATATATATATATCATATCTCTCTATAGAGATATGTAAATCTCAGAATTTGCATACTCTTATCTGTAATTGAGTGTTTGATCTACTTATATGGATAAAATCACTTAGTACATTCATACTTAAACTTAAAGATAAGAACTTGTAAAATGAGTTTAATTTTCTTTATTAAAATATCAATTGCTATAATCTTACTAGAATTCAAGTTAAAAAAAACAGAAGACTGAGTAGGTACATAGCCTACTCAACATTAAGAAACTTAAACATTAAGCTGTCATAGGAACTTATGAAAAATATTGTATACATTATGACAAATCATTGCAATAAAAGTTATCATTCATTGCTTTGAATATGATGAAGAAATAAGTAAAAAGATAATTTGAAAACAGACACTAGTACTTGAGGTACCCTACACTTTAAATCTGATAATAATTGAACACGGCACGGGAAAATATATGTGATATATTAGCATATAAATTCATCAAAATGAATTTATATGCTAATCTTCAAATTGGTTGGTTTTATTTCAATTAGTTTTGATATTAGCAGGTACATTTTAAAAAGTATGTGCATTTTTGTCTATGAACTTATTATTACATTAAACAATAATAACAATCGCGTCATGCCTATAACATGATAATAAGTTTGAGTTGGTGATAGCTAGAATGTTTTCTTCAAATTTCAATTCTATGAACTAAATTTGATTACAGGTTCATTTTTTTTCTCTTCATATGTAACAATTTAGATCTTCAAGTAAAGCATGTGCAATCATCCGTAATTTACTTCACTTACCGGATAAAAGAGCCCACATTCCGGCTTCAACGTTTGCGTAAACAATGCAGAAACATATAAATGCAGACAGTCCAAGCACTGCTCCGATCGCACTTAAAACTATATGAACTTTAATTCGTAACATCTTGATTAAAATGTACTTCCAAGTAAATAATAAATAGCTATTTGTTGTTTTTACTCCAAACCAATGTCGCGATTATTATTTCGCAGCACAGCTGGTGAGCTGGTTATTGAACTGTCAGTCAGACAAACAAAACTGAACAAAACAACATATTGTCGTCGCGTTCCTATCTTTAATCACGTGTCACATGTTAATAAGAATAAAATCAATTTCCATTCCATTGTATTTTAAATGTAACGACAATGATTAAATTTTAACTTTTATTAAATATTCTAAAGAATAAATCTAAATTAAACATTAGTTACCAGAAGTTTAAGGGTCTACCAAATAAGCGCAACACAACTAAAGTATCGACTTTAATATTCTGTAGTAACAAGATACAAGTATCTTTGTTCCACAGACTAAAGTAGTACAACTGTTCAAAATAAAAAAAAAACTGACGCTGTCAGCTGTCATATAGCAAATAAATATAAACAATAATAGTTTGTTTATAATAATTTTAGTTAAAATAGTAGCGTAAATAACACGAATAAAAAGTAGTTTTTAAATATTTTACAAAGTGACACATCTTTGTATTTTGCTGTTGCAAAGTCCTCAATACTTTGGACAAGGCCTAGATATGAGTCGCGTTAGTCAGGCCCAAATGAAGAAATTATTAGATTTACTATGTGAAGATGGCATATTAATTAACGGCAAAGTAGCGTATACTAACACGAACAAGCAAACCTTTTGGAAACGCGTAGCATTGCAGCTGAACGCAGTTGAAGGTGGAGTATACAAAAACACTTGGAAATGGTGTAAAGTTAGTCTAATATTTAAAATATTTACTGTAATTATAGTAATAATAATAAATTGAGACATCTCACATACGGCAGTCTGTCCCAAACTAGGCAGAGCCTGTATTACGGCAATCAACAGCAAACCAGCCATGTTCTTTGCACATTTAGTTGTCCCAGGTGGTAATTGAACCAATAACCTCTGCCTTAAACTGAGAATCACTAATCACTGAACCAACAATCTTGGGGTCCTAATCTTTGGGTCTATCTACCTGTCATCTACACAATGATTATTAACATTGGCTAACAATTTGCAACACTTTCTTTCGTTCATTTTTACTTCTAAGATACCAAATCAAATGAAAGATATCATTATAAAGCTCCTTCTTCAAGATCCACAAATTGTATTCACTTAAACACTAGAAAATAAACTTTGCCTACATATTTTCACTATATTTTAAACTGTCACACAACTTGAAATAAAATTCAATTTTGTGTTACAGATGTGGGCTGATTGGAAGAACAAAACAAAAAAGAAAGCGAACATAATACTAAGGAGAAAGAATTACAGTTTAGAGCACCCCTCACCAACATTATCTGCTTTGGAGAGAAGGCTACTTTCCCTTATAAATTACCCTTTGGATGATAAAACAGATGCTATAAGATTGGAAATGGTAAATGCTAACACAATTTAATCCCACTGCATGGCCTGTTTAAGCCATTACTGCCAGTGGTAAATGGTACTTCTATGCCATTAGTTTTTGTGTACTGTTTATTTACATAATTTTAAATATGGTAAATAAAAAGTACACAGTAAAAGAATTAAATGTAGATATTCCTTAATTAGTAGTATTAATAGTTATTTGGTTACCATATCTAATTAAATTTTATACTTTAGTTCTTATTAGTAAAATCAACTGCAAAATAAAAGGATAGATTTTCCTACAATTGGACTCAAAAAAAAAGAAAGCAAAAGTACGAAAAGTGTGAGAAAAAAATTATGTATTCAAAAAAAGAAAGTCTTATTTACCATTTTTTTGTTCTATTATTAATAAAACGAATGTTGCCAGTTACACATTTCTATTTAACGCATTAACCCTTCGTATCGTATTAATGCTTTTGTTAAGAGTAGATTCACATATGAGGAGCACTGAGTGAGATTTGGACCCACAACCACTTTATCACAAGTCGGCACCCTAACCATTACACTACCACCAATTATGAAATGTCTATTGCTTTTCAGGTAGCCAAGATGGAGCCCACTGAGAAGCCAGATAACTTCAACATGGAATTTTTAAATGAAGATTATAATGATTTACATACCCAGGAAAAGTCTTCATCAGATGATGAGGACAAAGGTTCCAACTGTTTTGATAAGAATGAAAGTAAATTTTGTGATGTTAATGCTATTGTACAAGGTTAGATACCGATATTTATTTATACATATTTTCAATCGACACAAGTATTACAATATTGATTTAATGTTTTAAAGAAATTCATAATTAAAAACATGAATTTGAAAATCTGCAATCTTCAAAAAAACCTTCTGCAACAATTCCACTCGTCAAAAATCCAGTGGATTTGTTAAGGAATCAAACAGCAAGCTCTTTTTGAAGAGGCTTAAATAGTAATCCATAAATCAGGTCCCACTATTTTTTTTTGTGAGGAAGTAGAAAAATAACTCTGGGGATCGGTGATTTCAGGTCCTCCCGAATCGATACCACGCCTAACCGAGCCCTATCCCAGAGGAAACTGCTAGATTTTATCTTTTTAATACTTTTTCTTTCAATTTTATTTATGATCCCCAACTATTGTTTCGTAATTTACAGTTTTTTTTCTTATAGCAGGGTATATAGGGTGTTAACCAGCCCATTTTTGCCGAAGCATTGCTCTACCACGAAAAAGGATGTTATGTAGCCTCCAGAACAAAAAGATAATTATAAAATATATCTTAAAATAATTGTGACTTTCCTAGAATGTCTACTACTATCCTTAGTTTTCTAATTGTACTGTTTCAGAAGATACCTTTGAAGGACTAGGAGAAGCGTCAGATCTGGATCATAAAGTTAAATTAAAAAGAAAGTCATTCAAGAAAAAAAAGCTTTCCTTAGAAGAATATAAAGTTAAGACAACATTAAACTTAGAAAAGGATAGAGTGCAACAAAAAAATGAAGAACTAAGACTGAGAGCACTAGAATTAAAGTTGAAAGGAGAAGAGCTGAGACTGAAAGAGATAGAGATGAATAAAATTAACTATTTAACTAATATTGAGGAGGAGAAACTTAAATGTTTTAGAGATATATCTTCATCCTTGAAAGAGTAAGTGTTCAACACAAAGTTATTTTTATCTCTTCTTGAAAAGCTTTTAGTTGCAGAAACACATCTAAATGATGAAAGATGATTTAAATCTTCTGTAGTGATGTTACAACAAAAAGTGAGACTTTTTAGAACTTCTAATAAATAATGGTTGAAAAAACATGCTTTTATAACTAGCCTAATTAAAAAATAGAAAATTTTCAAAAGTAAAAAAGAAGTTGCCTGGCTAGGCGCGGCATCAATCCAGGGGGGACCTAGATCGGGCACGCCGTTATTGCGGTGGTAAGACCCGTTATAGAGGATTGGCTCGAGAGGCGTCACGGAACCCTCTCATACCGACTGACGCACCTATTCACCGGGAAAGCTTGTTTCGGAGATCATCTGTGTCTGATCTGCAAGGAGCCAACGCCTGAGTGCTACCACTGCGGTGGCCTGACCGTGAACACAGCAACCCACACGTTGGCAGAATGCCCGGCGTGGGTGGAGCAGAGGCGTGACCTCGTGGTGGCCATCGGAGTGGGAGTCTTCTCGCTCGGTAGTGTGATTGCCATGGTACGGAGCGAGAGTGCGTGGAACTCCGCCGTCTCCTTCTGCTTATACCAAGTTATGCTTGCGAGGGTTATCCTCTAGGGTAAGGTCAAACTGGCCTCGAAGAAGCTCGGTGTGCAGAACAGATCGAGGCAGTGTTTCACTCCGGCCCACCGCCTTCAGCTCTGTAAGGCGCAAGTCCGGCCGCATATGGAATACTGTTCTTGTCTCTATGCAGGGGCACCTCAGTACCAGCTTCTCCCTCTGGACTGACCCAACCCAACGAAGATCGACTCGAATCGTCGATAGCTTAAACATCTCCGATCGGTTCGATCCCTTGGCGTTACGTAGAGATGAGGCTTCACTCTGCATTCTCTATCGCATATATCATGGAGAGTGCTCTGAGGAATTGTTCGGACTAATACCAGCCGCAACTTGCCGCCATCTTTCCACACGACAAAATTTTCATTCTCATCACCTAGATAGGTGGCGCTCCACTACTGTGCGCTTTTCAAGACACTTTTTGCCCCGCACAACCAATATGTGGAACGGGTTATTCTATGCGGATTGCCAGACCGATACGAAACCTTCAAGAAAAGAGCATACTCCTTCCTAAAAGGACGTGAAGTAACCCTCCTGCTCGTCTGTCCCCACTAACAAAGAGAAAAATTAATAACTGTCGCGTTAGTGGAAGTTGAGCCGTATTCTAAAATATATATTACGATATGCTTATTGTGAGCCTTTTAGCAAAATGATGATGCGGAAGCCGCATATTATCAAATGTCTCCAGCCTCTTGGGCTAAGCCTTGAATATGCATAAGCATGCTCATTGTGGGAGAGCCATGCTTCGCCCTATATGGACCGCTTCGACCGAAGTGATACCGAAAAGGCCGATTTCGTTCATTTTCGCCGAGTGGGGTTACCGGAGCCAGAAAAGGGGGCAACGCACTTGCCTCTTGAATCGCATGTATCCATTGGAGGTGGTCACTTACCCTCTTTCCACTTAAATCCCCTGCCTCAATCTCCCAGGGGATACAACACTCACTCACTATTCCACTTCGATCCCTTGTGCTGGAGACTCCATAAATACTATTAATTTATTTTCTTTTTAGTCCCCTCTAAAAACAATAAATGTGAACCCGTCTGCTCGGTTGTCCCCCGTCATAGAGAATGCCTGAATCAGTGTGTGTTGTATAATTTGTCGTATATATATTTATGTGTCTTGGTTGTAAACCTTCAGCTTATACAAAAAGGTCACTGTAATGTGAGGAGGATACAGGCGATAATAAATCAGCATGTAACGCGATGATAATAATCATAGATTGAATATTAGAAATTACTAATGCGATATTTTTGATAATGAAAGAGGCTCGTGGCTAAGCGTTACCACCGAGTATGGTAACAGATTGCAAGTCAGTCTATGGAAGGGTGAACATTCTTAACACATTTGATATTCTTCCGTGTATCAGAGAGCACGATAAGCCGTTGGTCCCGCTTACCATACGAACATTTTGGCAATCATTACGGGTAGTTGGAGCCCTATAACGTCCGACAACAGTCTTTTTACAGAACTTCGATATCGCCTAGTACTTGGGTTGATGAGGTCTGATGGAAGTCGCTCCACGTAAAAATTGAAGTTCAGCCATATCGTGGTAGACTTAAAACTGACCCCAACCTACTTTGGGAAAAAGGCTCGGAGGAGACTAATGTGATATTTTTGTATTCCAGGCTATTGGAGCGAAGTAGAAGTGGCAACTTAAGATTTCATAATGCTCTTTAACATTAAGAGGGATGCACCTATATTATACAAATAAGATTATTCTTGTTTTAGTGCCGATGGCAACACTTTAAGCGGTTATGGTCCAGGGCTCGGCGAATTAAGATTATTAAATATAATAAAAAACTGTTGAAGTAAAGAAACAAATTTTATTTGCCTTCTTCATATCAAATAACAAGAATCTAATTCAGAATGACCACTTCGTATGATATTTGAATATCATCAAGTATGTCAATGTTATATCAAAAACACTTTAATTGAAATAAAGTATTTTGTTAACGTCTTGCATAGACATTCTGCATTAAATCCTATGGCTAGAAACCCCCATTGAACTTACAATTAATCAAAAAGAGAAACAAAGCTAAAGCTTTGAGAATTATAAACATATTTTAAACATCTTAAAAATCAACAGGCTCCAAATAATTCCCTCCTATTCAAAAAAAAAATTACGAACATGAAAATTAAAAAGAATAATAATGGAATATTTAAGCAAAATAATTCAGCTATAACATAACGTTAAATTGAACATCTTCGGCGCCGAATGACACATTAACAAAATGTCCAACATGCTCAAAACGCCGAGAGTCTACGCTTTAAGTCAGTCCAAAGTTCCAAGTACATTTGAAAAACATTGTATTTATTCTAACTACCATTTTGAAATTAAGAAAACATATATTTACATAAACACGATATATTTAAATAAATACTAAATAAATCAGTACTTTGAGACTAACATTATACATACATAAAAAGGCTTATAGGAGGGAAGAAATTATTAAAACATTTAATTATAAAAGATTGATAAATAACATTTGGTTGCTAGAATATTTCTATCTCCACTTTCCTCTTTCTCCTTGAGTATATGCGACATTTCGTGCATTGAACATTCTCCATCTTAATTTATTTTTATTTGAAACAGGTGTTGGTGTGGCCATGCTGTGATAGTAAATGTAACAAATAATGCTGTGTGGCGACGCGTCGCCAGGTGCAAGTGACTCTGTGACTCTCTCACACTGATTATCAAAGTGAAATTTCACAATCATTATTTCCACAAAATAATTTCGATGTTTCACATCTGATGGACGTCTTGCATCGGCTCATTTTTTTTTAAATGCAATTAAAGAAACTTAACATTTTCCCCATATAGTATTAAAATATGCTTTTATAAAAATCACAACTAAAAAATAGATAACAAAGTTAAAATCCCAATAATATGAACAAGTAGCTTGTGAACAATTTACATTTTCAATAGTTTCAAATAATTTGGCCTTAATTTACTTAGTGTGATAGCGTCTAATTCTGATACCCTGTGTATTCTTAGATGGCTCTTCATGTTGCCCCTTTGAGCATATCCTCTTCCACAAATAGGACATTTAAATGGCGTTTCTCCTGTGTGCAGTCTCATATGCTCTTTAAGATAGTCTTCATGGAAGAAACAGCTACCACAAACATTGCATTGGGCGGGCCTCTGACCTGTAATTTAGTATAGGTATTGAATGTAAGTACTTTATAAAGTAGAATCTCTGTTAGGAATTTCTTTTTTATCATAGAAAAATTACGAGTTTTTTTTTATATTTGCAGAAAAAAAAAACCTATTCTCAGATATAGATGGTGTAGAATAAAATAATTGGTATTCATTTACTATTGCATCTGCATCTTTTGAGCCTTGCTGGTTCATGACTTTAACGAAAAGTGGAGGCAAATGTATCCTTGCGAACTAATCGCCTTGTTTGTGATTTATTCATGACACAGCTGCATTTTAGGTTTAAGAGCAGTAAAACATAAAAAAAACAATTCTTTAAACCCTTATTTAAAAATGATTGCTAAATGAACACTAGCTATTTATTAAAAAGCAAAAAACTAGTTGATTTTATTTCGACTTTTTTATTTATTGTGGAGTATTAGAACATATATCTCCTTTAGTACCTTACGAAGTACAAAAAATATCCCTCTTAAAAGTTAAATAAATACACCTTAAAAGTTTCCCCTCACAGATAAGGGGCTAATATTTTATATACCATAGTTCAAAGAAGGTTATACATACCCGTGTGAACAGACCTCTCATGGATCAAAATAGATTTTTGACACTTGTATGACTTATCACAAAATTTACAAGAATACATTTTCTTAGGCTTCAAATGTTTATTGTGTACATTTCTAAAATGACTTGTTAGCTCCCCTTTATAAGCAAAGCCTTGGCCACACGTAGAGCAAATAAAATCTCTAGAGGCCTCATGTTTTCTTTTCATATGCCTTTTTAAGTAATAATCAGATACACAAACTCTAGGGCATTTAGGACATTGCACTGGGTTCTTGAAATGCACTTTCTTCTTGTGAATATTGAGTTTATCTTGAGCTTTAAAAACATCTCCACAGAGGTCGCATAACTTCTGCTCTGGTTTCTTATTTGCAGTTGGCACTTTAACTTTTGTCTGTGGTCTTGGTCTTGGTTCTATGTTTTTAGATTTCTTTTTTAATGTAGTCTGTCCAATTTTCATACTACAATAGGAAAAATGACATGATGGGTTTGTCTAAGAATTAATAGTTATAAATTTCATTCAAAAAACAGCAAAAATATCATGACTAAAGCAACAAACTTGCAATTAATTAGGAACAAGTATCCACTACCATGCCAACCAACTCTTAACACAACTATTTAATAGTCCAAATTGCAAAAACAAAAATACTAGCAATATGTCTCACATTATTGTTTTTCTTATTTAATTATTTGTATGTAAATTTGATCACCATTTCTTAATCACAATCACCACATACATACATAACTTTTACATTAATCATCACTGTATTATTAATTGTCAAAGTTTTTTTATTAATTAAATATATTTAAGAAACACATTTTAGAAACAGCTAAAAAAAAATATTACCACCATTTTTCTCCATTCCATAGAAAGTTACCTTCTAGTATAGAAGAAGCTATTTTATTAGTCCGAATTCCACTTTGTGTTGTGGCTCTTCTAGCCTTTCTTTCTTTTTTTAATGGTTCCTTTTTTATTTGCTTTAGTATTTTTAAAGGTTTCACATCTTCCAAGTTATCAAACAAATCATCAAAGTGATCATGAGATTCCAATTTTACTTTTTTTCCTTCTATTTCTACTTCAGACAAATCATTGTCATTTTCTTCATCAAACTTGTTTTCTTTTTTAACAATTTTTAGGCCATTTTCTATTATCTTATTAGACTCCCTATACTTATTTATAAAATTGCATAATATTTCTAAAGTAGTATTGCATGCTGTACAGATATAACGAGGAAATCCACTTAAGTCTTCAATCTGAAAAAAAAGTTTAGTTATTGAGTATGTCAACAAACTTTTTAAATTTGCTTATTTACAAATATTTATTACTTTTTCACATTGTAAACACATGGATAACTTTTTATATACATTTTGGTCTGTCTCAGACTTATCAAATATTGGCCATGTAGCTCCATCCTGAAGACAAATTCGACACAAACTTGAATTTATATTATCCATGACATTGCTGATAATATATAAATAAGTCTTAAATTATTGCTAAAGGTTACTTAAACAATACAAGCTGTGTGAAGTATGTTATTCTAAGACTTTAACTTGCTTTAACTCCACAACCAAAATAAAGCAATGTCATTTTTGACATTGTTGTTGATATTTTTTTTGGTCTAGTTGTTGTGATACCTCTAATTAACTCGATTAGGCTAACTGAAATGTCGATAGATAGATTATTATAATCTTCAAAAATATTAAAATATAACTGTATTTTTACATGATTATTACGCATTACTCACATACTTTTAGAACTGATTGTAAGTAATTTTTGAGGAAATTTTTTGCAACATAAGGCATATTTTATTTTATAGTAATAAAGATCTCTTTTAGGCTGATGTTAGATTTATTATTGTGAATTTAATTTTGATATTATTTGAAAACTTGGAAAGGTAAAAGTGCATAACAAATTACTTGACCAATCGACTATGACATTTATTTTCAGACTTCAATAAGCGTTCGTGATCACAAGACCAATCATAGACAACATTTTATCACTTGTCTTCTGTCATCAGGTGATTTGGGTTTGGGAGTGAAAAAGTCCTAAAAAAAGGATAAAACGCCAGTATTTTCCTAAATCAATATGTCTGGAAAAGAAAGACTAGCGATTTTCCCTTCTCGGGGGTAAGTTTTACCATTAGCAATGTTTTCTAGTTATTTATAAATGTGAAACTTTTGCGTAATATTAGTGTATAACATACAATTTGTCCTGGTTCTAGTGCTCAGATGTTGATAAAGGGCCGTCTGGCTGGAGCAGTTAAAGGCCATGGTCTCCTTAAGAAGAAAGCTGATGCCCTCCAAGTGAGGTTCCGTATGATCCTGAGCAAAATTATTGAAGTAAGTGATCATCTACTGATTATGATCTCTTAAAAAAGACATAAAGAAAAATATATGTTGTGCTTATTAAAATAATAATCATAATGATAAAATCATATGTAGCAAAACATTGAAACTTGCTCTAAATGATGTATTAAAAGGCCCTGACTAAGTTAATTTAAGCAAGTAATTCAGGTAATCTGTATTTTGTGTTGTATATTTACAGACTAAGACACTTATGGGTGAAGTGATGAAAGAGGCTGCATTTTCACTGGCAGAGGCTAAGTTTACAACTGGTGATTTCAATCAAGTGGTACTGCAGAACGTCACTAAGGCTCAAATCAAGATTCGTTCTAAGAAAGACAATGTTGCTGGTATGTAGTTTTTAAATATTTAATTAACATAATAATAGAGCTAGCTACTTCATAAGATAAAAAAACATGTTATTGAAAAATTGATAAGGTGTTATGTGTAATTATTGTTCCACGTAAAGTCTCTGCTAAATAAAAAAACAAGTTCTATAATGCTAATGTTGAACGCTTTGGTCTAGTTTGAACATCAAAGTTAAAAGGTCTTAACTTTTAGATAAAAATTAGTTTTTTCTGTTGATATGCAGTTGATATTTAATGCAAAAGAATAAAATTTATTTTAAATTCTCTGACAGAAATCAACACTAAATGATATAACAATGACCTGAATACAGATTTTATTTTAAATTAGAGATGAATTGTTTTTTTGATCTCTTGGTTGAATTACATCAGTATTTAGATTCAGAAGTCTAGACTCTATTTATCATGCCTTATAATAACCTTCTTTAAAATGAGGACATTACTATACAAATATTTTTCATTTCAGTTTGTGTTCATTTATGTGTATGGATTATAAAATTCAATGGTTTTATATTTTTATCATAGGTGTAACACTCCCAATCTTCGAGTCTTACCAAGATGGTACTGACACATATGAACTGGCTGGTCTGGCCCGAGGTGGTCAACAACTTACTAAGCTGAAGAAGAACTTCCAGAGTGCTGTCAAACTGCTCGTAGAGTTGGCTTCCCTGCAGACATCATTTGTGACCCTGGATGAGGTCATCAAGATCACCAACAGACGTGTTAATGCTATTGAACATGGTATGTTTTTGTTTCTTTAAATACTTTCGTCCCAGCACCCCTATTTATCCTGTGGGCGTCATAAGAACCGACTAAGCCAACAAACTATAGGACAATAGCACTGCAAGGAGAAGAAAACTTAAAATGACCTACTGCACCATGCTGACTGGGTTGGTCATCTGGTCAGCATGGTATTGTAGGCCAAAACCTCATTTCTAAGATGCTGATGATGATGTGTATATACTTTAAACTCCCTCGTTTTTATCTTGTAACACATAGTTTAATTTTGATAGAGGAAATGTATATAATCATAATTATTTTTTAGATATCATACGATATAATGTATCTATGCCGTTTTATGCTTTTTGTTGGGAAAGGTTCCGTTTCTACCAGTTACCCTTTTTCTCTAAAGTAACTGATGTCCACTCATTGTAGTTTTCTCTATTTTACCTCTGCAATTTCTTCATTTCTTTGTTTTTGATTACCTTTTTCAGACTTTTATTTTATTTTTATGAATTTGTTGTGTTTCTACTATGATGTCTGTTGGAGATAATATTTGACCCAGATAAAATTAATTATTTAATGGTTTATATTTATATGTATTACATTTAGGGTATAATAATTTTCATCTATGTACATGATAACTCTTTTCATATCTTTCTCTCTCTTAGTCCCTTATATTCTTTGTAGTCCTCGCTCTGATGGCTCACTGCAATCTCAATTACTTTCATGTGCGAATTAGAGATATTATAGAAAACAATATTTTTTTTACGAAATAAAGAAATCGAGTTTGAATTTAGCGGAAAATGAAGAAAAAGTTTAGTTAGTGTTATGAATAGTTTAGGAGACTGAAAAACCTCCTTTTTTTATGTATTCATCGATTTCCTTATTATCTTTAGTGTTGATGATTGCTATTCCTTTTAGACACCCTGATGTTGAAGCACTTGCCATTTCGTTAAGTGTTCTAATTTATTGAAACCTCTACTGTAATATAAAAACATATAATAAGCAGCAGCTTTTTTTAAAATGGGGTTTTAAGGTAGAGTATATCCTCTTGAATCCTGCTTTTTCCCTCGATTAGTACTTGTGCACAGTAGCTTATTTTATCTAATAGAACTCCAGTGAATGCTAGACTTGTGTCTATTGTGGCCAGTTATAGTGTTAGTAGTGTTGTCCATTTAAGTTGTCTATTGAATCATAAAAATAAGTTAAACATAAAGAAGTTAAATAAATATTTAAATCTCAGGTTTCTGATTTACCTTTGTTTACCTTCTACAAGTGGTAATGTATTGTCACTTACGAGAATTCTTGCGGGTAGAAGAGAGTGCAGAAAAAATGATGATTTACTTACTCAATTTCAGGTCACTGTTAAAGTGATCATGATTTATTTTGCTTTTATCTTTTTTTTAGTAGGCAACCAACCAATTGATTATAATATTGAAATTACAGTAATTATTCCCCGTTTGGAGCGTACTCTTGCATACATTATCTCCGAATTGGACGAACTCGAGCGTGAAGAGTTCTACAGGTTGAAGAAGATCCAGGACAAGAAGAAGATCATTAAGGATAAAGCAGAAGCTGTAAGTTACTTCTCCTAAAATTTTCGTAACAAAAGTTTTGAGTTGTTTTGATGTCATGGATAGGATTAGAAGAGAAATTCGATTGTAGTCCTAGTACGATATTTATATAAATAGTTAATTTTCGAGATTTCGTTTTGCACAGAAAAACTAAATTTATCGTATAGGCTGGTAAGCGGCGGTAGCATAACGGCTAAACTTTCGCTATTATGGGCTATATGGTTTGAATGGCTTAGTATTTCACCCACAGTCAGCCATATTTTTAAGTATTCCCTAAATTCACGTCAATCGCCCACTAATTGGAATTCGATGAGATACTTACACCATACAAAAAATAAATAACATAATAATAGAACAGTATACTTATAAAACATTTTGTCGCTATAAAGAAAAATGTTTATACAACGAATCTAAGTAAGACAATTTTCTGGTTTATAAGCTACTAACATTGCCCGCGGATCCTCCAGCGGGTACGTCGGTTATGGCGGTAAAAAGTAGCCCATGTTACTCACTGATAATGTAGCTTTAATAATTTTTAAAATCGGGTTAGCGATGGCGTAAAAGTGTAACAGACAAACAAATTGACTTTCACATTAAAATATAGCAAATGAAGTATGGATTATTGAAAGCATTGCTTTTACATATTTTATTTCTCTATGTGCTTAAATTAACAAAAAAAAAATGTTTTCCACAGAAAAAGGCGTTGTTGATAGCTCAAGGTCAAGAACTACGCAGCTCGGCAAACTTGCTGGACGAAGGCGACGAAGACTTGCTGTTCTAAGTTCTCGCCTTCCGTTGACTCATATATCTAGACAGTTGTTAGTAGTTTTGCAGTCAAGTTAAAGACTCAGTGACACTAGCCTAACCAAAATGTATCCTATGACAGGAGTTTTTGACGTCATTTTAGCTTGTTTGTTAACTTGACTGCATATATAATGATATTACAGTGTTCATTTCGTTGTAAATACCTTTGTTGTATCACTGTTGAATGTATAACATGCTCTAAATCAATTTCTATAATATTATATCCACCTGTAAGGCGACGTCACTAAGAATCATTGGCGTATGCTCAGATGTTACGTACGTAAGCATTCCACCATTTTATTTTATTTTTTTGAAGCTTTTCTGTAACGCTGTAGTATAAAATCAGTATAAGTACACATATTTGTGGTTTTTGAATTGTTGTTGGATAACTAATTACTATTTTAAGTAAGCAATCATGTAAATACAAGTTTGTGAAGCGAAATATATAATTATTATTATTGATTTAATAAGTGGTTTTATTTCTAACTGTATAACTGTAACAAAAATGAAATGGATTTTGTCGTATTGACGCACAGTAGTTATGACACAATACTAGCTATTTGGTTAGTTAAGATTTACCGGAGTCGACATAAATGAAAACTAATTTTGGGGGTCGACGAGGTCTAAAAATCGATCCCTATTAATTACAAGTTTACAAGTTCTCATTTGAAACTTTCAAAATACTATATTGCTTGTGTTACGTGTACAAACTTGTTATAAGAATGATTCATATTTAAGTAGGAAGTATCATTGTTGTACTTCTAAAAAACTCAAGAAGCGGATAAGCGTGCAGTAATTTTGCTATGGGGGTCTGATATATCACTTAATTTTAGAAAAGGGGTATCTTGCCCAAAAGAGTGTGGGAATCCCTGATTTAGATAAACTACACGGACTGCTGAAGCTCAATAAGTTACTACCGGCTTACCTACAAACTTCAGGCCAAACCCTGAATAAAATATGGTTAGATTAGGGCTGCCATAACTGCTGAATCAGCGACCGGGACATTTCGGAACATAAAAAGGTAAATCAAGGACAAATTAAATATATCGATGAATATGCGACTTTAATTATTGTAATTTTTATACACACTTTTACACTTGGTACTAGATTAGTAAATTTTTAATTTTTTTTTGGTACTTATTTACGGAAACTAAATTAAACGTGAAAAATTCAACAACAATAACTCCCGCCCGATATAGACTTGTGCATGCTAAACCGGGACATTTATTACTTATTGATGGGGACATAACGCTTTTAATGCCCATTGCCCGGTGTACCGGGACATATGGCAGCCCTAGGATAGGTACAGGAAGATATGAGGTCAAATCGTGAAAAGGTTTTTCCCACATGTAGAATGTCCAGTTCCGTTTCGTCCAGCAGTTCCAGTCAGCATAACTTTGGACTGCCTGCAGCCAGATGTTGTTGGTGGTTCAAGAGTCTGTTGCCTTACACAAGAGCGAAGTTAGTTAAAGTGGGGTAGAGTCCAGAACCCTTCCTCGCAAGCCTATCTGCGGTATCGTTCCCGTGTGAATTCTTGTGTTCGAGCTTAGAACAGAAACCCTAGAACGCAAATCCCTTCAGCAACAACACCCCTATCTTGGCCCTTTGACGCCTGTTATTAATAGGCGACCTCACCCTGGATAACATGCTTCTTCTCCTTTTCAATTTAGAGGCGCTTAAGGAACTTCTTCTGGTAGGGCGACAGGTAACTCTGCCCACCAAATCTCAGGCAAGCGCTCATAGAGGCCAGAGATTATTTTGTACTCGCCATTGCTTTTAAAACAATAAGTATTAAACGCACAATGGAGTGCGTTTTTGAATTGCATTTTTGAAAAAAAGTTTTATTAGGTTTACATGTTTTTTAGGTTTCTGGACTGTGCGAAAGCATCAGTTACATATTTTATCATTAGTATCATATTAAACTTGGTGCAACAGGTGTAGATAGTCTTACAGGGACTACAGAAGTGTCAACAAAAATTACATTTTTAATGAAACCATTTCAACACCATAACATGAAGTTTGGAGAACTTTAGAGTAGGCATGTGTAATACTTTATTTATTTCTTTGTTTTTCTTTTCAAAAAACACAACTTCCGCACTAGGAATATATCCTGTGACTGGGACTTCACAAACGTACATGAAACGGGGTCAAAAACACCCAGACTCAGAACTACTACTTGTGGATCCCACAAAGTGTCGTTCCATTTGGGGATTGAATCCTCAACACTCAGGGTAGTAGGAAGCGACCGCTGAAACCACTACGCCATCCGTGCAGTCCTCTGTATTTTGTACCTATCTACAGGTCAGCCCAAAGTTGGTAATAATTAAAAAAGAAACTTAATAAAAGTTACCTTCATTTAATAATTCGTTACAGTGACATTCAGGTTAAGATATGATGGAGAGTATTATCTTGTACCTTAAATAATATTATGATGATGACAAACACAGACCCTTACAAAAAGCTTAAATAACACATTACCAAATTTACGTTTACGTTTTTACAAACAAGGAAACACTAACGTTTTTTGGCCACTAAGAAGAATCTGTTATTCCGTTTTTGTAACAGTCCAAATTCAACAGCACATCTCAACATTGCACTTAGCGACTTGCCTGTGCGCTTCGGGTCGTCTAGCGTTTGGTAATGCTGTTTTAAAAATCCGATAACTCTTCGAGAAGTTAAGCCTTGTCGTGACGGTATCTTGTGAAATGCCCAGAGAACTATGGCAGCTGGATTAGACTTTTTTAGGCCTAGCTTGATTTTACCATAAGCTGGGTTCCTGTAATGATCACTTCTGACATTTCTGTCATCTCTGTCACTTTTGTCTGAATAACCGGAATACATAGAAGCAGTAGCGCAGGTGTAGCCGCTGCGCGAGCTGACTGTTGTAGCCACACTTCGTTCGCTTGGCGAATAGTAAGGTCGCTTTGACTTCTTCATCGTTAATTTTGATGTTGATTTTGTTAATTTTTTTATTTTAATTTATTGATTTTTTTCAAAAATTTGACAAATATTACGAAAATGTTTTGGAGTGATGTTTGTTTTGACTTTTGACCATAGAAAATAGGTGATGTCAACAAATCTGCTTTTTTAATCCAGCTGATGAAGGAACATAAAATAGGTCTTAGTCGAAGATTGTTTTGAAACATAGTTGTAGTATTACTTATTCCTGCAACATTTGAATAATTTTATACATTTATATTACAATCCTATGATACGTTGGAATAAGGTTTGTTTCAAGTTTTCCTTCTCTTTGTAGTGTCTAGAAGTCTAACCTTCTTTCTAAGGAGAGGCCTATGTCCACCAGTGGACTATTAAAGGCTGTTGATGTGATGTGTATTCCCATACTTGGTTTAGGACGTCTCATATGAACTTTACTGTTCACGCTTGCGAGGAGAGGAATATAATCATGGCATCCATACTTAACTAATTTTAACTACCCGGCGTAGCTGTCAGAAAAGTAAACAGTAAATATTATTTTTAAGAATGGTGTAGACAGGTTTGGATCAGAATCCAAACATTTTGTAGAGCATAATAGCTTAGAAGATATTAAGAGTCCCGCTAAATTCCGCTAGATGTCAGTATTGGTTAGGCGTTATAACTCGTTTAGGCAATCGTTGTTCATTAATTTTCAGAAATTTAGAAGTTCAGAAATTTAAAGAAATAAACATAATGACAGTGCCAAGTCAATCTATATAATGATATGTAAATGTAATATATGTTCATAAAAATAAAGATAGCTTCTTGAAAAGAAGTGATGTACATGCTTTAAATACTAGTAATAGAAATAAACTTGTTGTACATGCCATGTCTCTATGCTCCAAAAGATAAACAAGTCATTTCAAGGTCATTGTGTCCGATTATGTAAAAAAATCCCAAATAATATACAATATTTTAGTATAAACAAATTTAAATCCACAATAAAACGTTAACTATGTCGGAAAGCTCCTAAGCTACTCGATTGTGGATTACATTGAAGACAAGAATGCTTGGGATTAATTTAGCACAGACTATTTCTTAGTGGAAATGTGATGTGGGTAGTGTGTCTTTTATTTTATTTGCAATTTTTTTAATGTTTTACTTCACTTTCTTTTTTATTTCATCTTTTTCCTATATCTTGTTTTCTTTTCATTGCCCTTTTAAATTTTAGTCCTTAAAACTTACATACTGGCACACATCAAAACAATGTTGTTTATATTTAATAATGCCATTGTATGCATTTATTGATTAAAAAGAGCGGCCATGAGTTTTTATGCCCTTTTTCTCATGAGACTCAACCCCTTAAAAAAAGAGGTTGTAGATCGGCATAGGCATATAAGAGATTTTCGATTCGTAGATTTGGTTTGCTAAATATTTTACATAACAGGGATTGTTGCTATTGTGTGTATTGATCTATGACTATAGTCTACACAAGAGGCGATGTCAAACAATTTTTTTGAATGATTTTTTAAGAAAATTTGAGTTTAACTTTCTTGAAATTTGAAATGCAGATTTTATCTAATCTTTCTTATCTTACTCGTATGTCAATAATTTTGAGCAGGTGTGAAACCTAATTGAGATAAGTATATGACCTACTTGTCGGTACTTAGTTGGTACAGGTAGGTATATCGGACGATTTCTTTTTAGTAAATTTGGAAACTAGAGCTTAATTTATTTTTAACTAAACCACAAATGGACATAACAACGGGGGCTGCTTTAGTTAAAAATATTTTTTAATTTAGGTTTAAATCAAGTTGTTTTTGAGATATAACTGATTTGGCAAATATTTAAGTAATATTATAAATAAATTCTAATTCTAAACTCAGACAAGACAGACTCTTGTTTTGTGTTTTTTTGAAGTAGTTGTTTATTTTTCTTCATGTTTTAATGATTTTAAAAATTACACGAGTTCAAATTCAAGATGCATAAATTTCACTGTTTTTCATGAAAAGAGAGAACTCTTGTGCTGCTCCTACCGTTTCTATTGTAACTTAAACATTGAACATCATTAGTTACTTAATAGTTTAAGGTAAATATAGTGGTAATAAAGCAGTTAATGAGGTAGGGTAGATCAGATCATTTGTGAAATCGAGCTAAAACCCACTATAGAGAAAGATATGGTATCGACGCACAATCCATACCAATTGCGTTGCCAATATTTATAAACGGTATTTATTCATCATCACACTCAAGGCTTCAGAATTTTTATATTGGATAATCTTTATTTCTTAAATAAATAGAGTGACTTGGCAAATGCACATGGCATATTAGCATAGCAGCATTAGCATATTTGTGAATGCATAAAAGTTCGTTAGCGCTGCCTGTGTTCAATTAAGTAAGTATTACTACTGAAAATAAAATATTTTTCTTATGTGATTACGTTGTATTGTGAATACAATACAATTGTGAAACAATTCTATTTATTAAAAAAATAAAGATGTATAATATTGATACAGTCACGATAAAATGTTTTAGTTTGGAAATTAAGTGACAAATAGATCTTAAGATTTTTTGTGGTAAAATAATTGGATTGCAATTTGCAAAACTTGGGTTGTTTATTTCTATTTGTTTTTGAAACTTTTTTTTATTTACAAAAGTAGTTATGAACGCTACAATTAGCTTGCAAATCGATATCATAAACAACAGTATCAATTAGAGATGCGTTGAAATCCAAATCGATGAAACGTAGATAGTGAAATTAAAACAAAATATCCTTGTCCAAAATTACAAATACGCTTTCTCTGTTATTATATATCATATCGATCTATTGATTGGATGTTTTTATGTACTTCCGGACCGAAGCGACGTTCAAACCTTCAAGAAAGAGCCGCTTCCTACAAGGCCGGCAACGCGTTTCTGACTCCTGAGTTGCAGACGTTCGTGGGTGGCGATGGTCACTTTTCATCAGGTGACCCGTCTGCTCGTCTGCCCCCTCTAAAAAAACAAGGCAACTTTTTAATTTTTTGTTCACTTTCCATGCAAGAGTATACCCTGATGAATTTTAAGTTTTTTTTAATAGAGGACGAACGAGAAGACTCCTCACCTGGTGGTAAGTGAATACCACCGCCCATGTACACCTGCAACTAAAGAGATACCAGCGCATTGTCAGCCTTTGTGCGCCCCTACCTCCAAAGAATTAGGGGGGCAGGGAGGAAAGGTTGGTTCCCAGTACTGGTTTCCTGTGAGGCCATGCTATCTAGACTTTTTTGGATAAACATTCAGATTACTCAGCTTATGGCTATAAATCAAACTAGGCAATATCATTTTAGAGACCGATTTAGTGTTGTACCGTTAATCTTTTGTTTTTAGACAATGATATTTTATACAAACAAGAAGTAGATACGCCACCAACGCATAAAACGCGATGGTCTTAATTAGGACCACATCTAGCGAGCGCACTTACTGATTACTGTGTAGTCCGAAGTTTTAGATATCTGAAACTTTATGGCCGCCGACCGCCGTTTTAGTTTTTCATTCCACAGTAACAGATTGATTGACAAATCTTCGATTGACAGCTGTTGAGATACTTTAGAACAGGTATTTTATGAGTATGTCGTGGTAAAACCATGACATATTCATAAAAAGCGAAAATTGACGTATTGTGCTTAGTTTTGTCGTAGTGTAAAAGCAAGTGTCGTAGTGTAGTGTCATGAAATTCATGAAAAGAGAAAAACATCGCAATTCTATATTATTACGTAGAAAGAGAAGCGTATTGAATAAAAATGTGGCAAAAGGATGAAGGAAATAAACTGTAATAAAAGACAGAGATATAATTTTGACATTTATTACCGCCACTGTAAAACGTAATTGAGAAAAAGGTTTTTTTCGTTCAAAAATTAACGCCAGCAAAGCCTACCTCTCGCCACTCGTCAAATAAAGAAGTCACGTGTCATCATTACCACTTTATGCCGTTGTTTCTTTTTATTATTTAAATGTTTAAAAAGATTCTAAACAAGAAGACATCTGGTTTATTTGACAAAATAAAGAGCAAAATATTATAAATAATTATTTATATCTATATAAACGATGTAACTCCCAACTGAGAGAAATCCTTGCTTTGTCCGCCGACAAATTAGGCGATCGTGATACAGATCGGTCGACTAGTCGGCCACAGTCGAGCTACATTTCCGGTAAACGGGGGTAAATTATTGCAACTTCATTTACTATGACGCCGGGCGTATTTTGCGAAATGAATTTAGAACTAGGTTTTTTGCTATAGCTGTATATTACTGTAAAAGCGAATCTGTAAATACATTTTATTTATGTATAAATATTAGGATTCCCACTTTGAAAAATGTACCTAATATGACCTGACACCCTTAACTTCGTCTGTGCCTCTCAAACGGAATAAATTTGCTGCAACATTTTTGAGCTCCTATTGACTATAACGTAATTTTATATGGCCTTCCTCGTTAAATGAGCAATCCAACACTAAAATAAATGTTCAATTCGAACCAGTAGTTCCTGAGAGCGTTCAAACATACAAACAAATTTTCAGCTTAAATTTCAGCTTTATAATATGAATATAGATTAAGGCTTTTATTCTCTCTATTTGTTTCAACGCAATAAACTCCTAAAGTATTAAACGGAACGAACACGGTTTTCACCAGTGTTTAGAGTGATTAATGCGGAAGTTTAGGTGTAGGTATTATTCATTACTGGTACCTGGAGACGGCGTGCGATTGTTAGTCGGTTCGACTCTGCCATAACCTCCAGCTAGCAGGTGCTATCCGAGGGGAAATCCGCACAGAAAAAAAACTCCACTGGAGTAATACCAGGGCCTCAGAATTGGTGACGTAGATACGTATTTCTTAGAGTTAAGCCTACGTGTTTGTAATTTTTTTAATTGCTATATGGTTGCATAATATTGATTATTCCTGTATAGGTTTTACAACAAATATACACCTTCCTCGAAAAAAGATCTAAACGGTAGTAAAACCACATCAAAATCGCTTACATGG